CTGCTTCTTAAGCTTTGAATCTTCATTGCGTGGAACTCTGAATAATCGCCGTTATTTGTAGTCTCAATCCAAAAGATTGCCACTTCGAATTAGTGAGTTGTTAAATTTTCTGAAATTGTGCAGTTTTTCTGCGTGGGCCAGTGAAATTAACATTTATTGAGACAAGTTTCTGTTTTAAAAGGTGCATTTATATCAGGAATGTTTTTTGTTATATTCTTAACCTTCCTTTCGCGATGCTAATTTTTTATGGTAGTCGAGCACCTGTACATTGCGAGTACCGCGCATTCCTTAAAAACGTTTGTTTCTGTTCACTACTTTTCTGTATTTTTAATCTTGTACCAAGGACGATGCTTGCGCATGATGTCGCAATGCACATTCGTTATTTATTTTTTTCTGATTCTTGTAAAGTTTCGCGCGGCTGCTTTCCACGGTTTTTCCGTGCTACTGCCAAGCGTATTTGCTCGGGAATGAATTCGTGTTGAAATGCACTTTTTTAGCGTCATTTAAGGAAAGAATTCTAGAAAGATAGATTGAATGCACACTGAATTGATGATAGCTTGATAAAATTTATTTTACCAAAAGGACCATTCACAGTTCTACCATTTTCCACAAAAATATTTGTACAGCTCTTCACGGTATCGCAGATTACAGCCAGTAGTTACACTTCAGTTTACTAAGAACGTCAAACAATGCAATATAGAGCGCATCTAAAAGGCGAAGCTCTTACGGATATCTTAATACTCCGAAGTCGCTCTGAACTAACAGCTACTAAACTGATGTTCTCTCCAGTCTTCTATACACTGAACTAAAATTAAGAACGATGCGGTTTTATATATATATATATATAATGGTGTGCAAAAGCTTTCTAAATCAACAAAAATAATACCATAAGATCCCCAAGATGTAAGAACATGGGTAATGTAAGCAAAACTCCTCAAAAAAGATATCAAAATATAGAAAGGAACTTTATTGGAAAAGCAGCATGGAGCACAATGCAACAGAAGGGACAAACATCTATGTGACAGGTGTCTAGCAAGAAACATCCAGCCTTTAGTAGGAAATATGATCTCCCCTGTTTGCTGTGCAGGTTTCACATCATTTGTCCATGCTGAATATGAGGTTGTCTAGTAATGACCAGGAATGAGTAGGAAACTTGGCAGCTGAGTAAGATTAAATATTCATTTTTTATTTCAATCGATATGTGTGGCCACAATTTACTTGACACTCTAATCGTGCCTATTCAAGAGCGTCTCCAATTTTGATATTGTTGCGATGGGAAGAGAAAACGTCATTACAGAAGAAAAAAGCTTAAGTGCGCAGTTATCCATTATGGAAGCTTACCAAGAGGAAGGTTTTGGTTAAGGTTAGAAAAGTTTCAGTTCTCAAAATTTTGAGTTCAAGTTCCGAATAAGCTACGTCATGAGCTTTACGCAAGCTCTGTCGCATAGATTAATCTAGGAAAACGCAATGCCAGGAAAGTTATTAATTTTAGAATAGAGAGAGGAAATACCCAAATTAAAAATGAGGAATCGAGTGGCTACTACTAAAGTTATAAAGCTGATTTATACATTTTTTATCTTACACACACACACGTATATATATATATATATATATATGTAAAAAATAGGACGGCTTTGCTCTATGCGAACCAGCAACCTTTACTTAACTTTCTGCAACTCAGGATCTTTTCCCTAGACCAGTACTTTCCAGAACATTCCAGCCTGTTACATAACCGCTTCTATAAATAACGAAGTCGCGCCATTTTGCATCAGATTGCTTCTCTTCTTCTGCGCTACAACACTTCGCTGCTGCTTAACCCATCTTTCCTTTGTTAGAATAATTATGACGCAAAAAGTCTAAATTTAATCTTATTTAGATTAAATCACTATTGAATATGTAATTTGGAGAATTTCATCTAAAGTAAAAATGATCTGCGGTGAAAATTGAAATAAAGCTATGGAATAGTAAAAAGTGAAATCCTTCTGTGTCGCCATTGGATGCTGCCTTAACACTCAGCCACAACAATGTCCGGAACTCATGTGCCTGACTACCAAAATATCATATAGTATATATGTGGGTGGGGAGTTGAAGATGATATCCTTAAGTAAATAACACTTCCACACCACAAAACATTTAATGAAAAATAATTGATAATAGAATAGCTACAGATTTGAATTAAAATAACAGTACCGTTACGTGTTCTCGCGCTTGTTAGATACAAATACAGTTCTGCATTATTTTAAGTAGTATTTAACCTTTTAACTGTCATGCCCGAGATAATCTGGGCACAGCACTAGTGTTCGAAAATGTCACGCCCGAGTATTACTTGGGGTAATTTTTTTTTTTTTTTTTTTTTTTTTGAGTGCATCGTATTGTTATACCCGAATATATATCGGGAGACGTTTATTTCGGCTTCATCTCTTTGTCAAACCCGACTGTATCTCGGGAAAAGTTAATGTGCGCTCAGTTCAGTAGATGACAGCACTTTACTGAAGATTTCAAAGGTTAGAGGTTATTTGGTTCAAGGTGCATGGGATCTTTTTGTTATAAAATAGCGTCCAGTTCTTTGAAACGTTATATAGATAATTTAGATTCTTCAACCGAAGATGAAGGATGTGTGTTTGATGAGCAGTATTCATGATACTTCCATGGTCAGCCTCAAAAATAAAAAATGGAGATATACTCTCAAGCCGAAGATTGTTTTCTAATTACGGTCTAACTATGGGTGGTGTAGATCGCTGTGATCAGGAAATATCCTTTCATCCAACAATCCGAAAACGTCAGATAAAATTATAAAAAAGATATTTTTACATTTACTAGACAAGGTACTCTGGAACTCATATTTGCTCTATAAAATGTAGTTGGGAAACGTATTACATTTTTAGAATTTCGAATCCAAGTTGTAGAAGAGCTTTTACATAAATATGATGATGCAGCTTCTGGACAAAAGAATGTTGGCAGACCACCTACAATAGATAACCCTGCCCGTCTTACTGAACGACATTTTATATCCCATTTTCCTCCTATTCCTGCGAAACGTAAGCCTACAAGACAGTGCAAAGTGTGTTGTTCGAAAAAGGATAAAAAAGGGCAAAAGATAAGGAAGGAATCACGATTCTGGTGTAGTGATTGTGGAGTTGGTTTGTGCTTGGAAAAGTGTTTCCAGTTGTACCACATAAGACTGAATTACTGAACTACTAATAGGTATTCACTTATATTTATTTATGTTTTAGAAAAAAGTTAATTTTTTTTATTTTTAGAAAATAATGCTCCACTAGAAGCGAACTTTGCAACTGCCATGTTGAGTGACAGCTGCCTCAAAGAAAATATGCAGTGGCTACAAAACTTTAAAAATTTTACCCATGTACGTCAAAATATCAATTTTTAACTACTTAAGTATAATTTATTTTGTACTAAACATTTGGTTTTTCCAATAAAAAAATTTGACAATTTGTGTACCCAAATCATCAAAATAACTTGACAGTTAAAGGGTTAAAATAGCTACACAGCAGCTACTCGCGCTTGCTGTTTTAGCAGAGTTCGTTTGTTACCACCTTCGCGTGGAATCAAATCTATCTCCTCTCTCTCGCTGTTGATGCCCTCTGGTGGTTGTGTTGAACTAACTGATACCACACACACACACACATATATATATAATTTGGGGGGGTTACTGTTTACTTACGGGGGGTACGGTCAATTTCTTTGCCGTTTTTGAAATATTTGCGAAAAACCGATAGAGAGCGCACTTCTTTCACACGCGACGAAGTGAACCTAAGATGGGTGACATGATTTCAAAACTGAACCTGGGTAGAAATATTAATATTTATTTTTTTGTAAAAACAGCAATTATAAGTTTGTTGATTAGCGTGTATGACTTTACTGATAGCGGAAACACAACAAGGGGGACGTGAGCAATGTTGTATTTTGTGTTGATATAAACCCTATTGAGTAAGCACTTCGTAGGATGTTTTTCTATATCTTATCTGAATAGGCCTACCTCTTTTGAATGTCAGGTGTGCAAAATTTCATCATATTGGAATAAAACTATAGATTTGTGTAAATTAATATATCCGAAGCAAATGGAGACTCTTCTTCATATATGTAGATGATTTTAATGAATCCACCTAGTGTTATTTCACAGATACAATTAGTAATTAATAATTGAAACGAATCTGCGTTTATTGCTTTTAAATCGCTTAGTTTGCTAATCTATAACAGCATAAACTTTAAATTATTTTACGCTTTACTAAACAACATCATAATGCCGCGTGAAACATAAAGTTATTTTAATTCGGGAAGTGGCACCACATTTCTTTTAAATCGTCGAGTTTCTGTATTAAATTTGAAAGAAAAATATATTGCTTTTTGTCAAGTGGCAATCAATACATTTCTTTTATATCGCCGAGATTTCTGATTAAATTTGAAACAACTGTCTTACGCTGAGTATCAGCACAAAATTTTTAAAATCACTGAACTTTTAATCAAAAGTTCCTTCAATTCGCACAAAAACGTAATAAATAAAAAATAAGTTCAGTATATAAGTTGTCTTACTAATCACGATTCACTATTTTTTTTCCAGTAATACAAATTATACAATTTTTGTAACATACAAAACGAATCTTTGCATAGTGTTTTAGGATTCCAAAGAAAGACAAATTTGGAATCGCTATCATGATGACGACTTTAAAGTAATTCAATTGATTTTGCAAATAAAAGAAACAGTCACTGTGCAATGCAATTATGCATGAACATGTACTTTCTTGGAATTTATTTTTGTCAATAATATTTTTTTATGTCTCACCTTTCTTTTTTTATTTCACATCAAAAATCTCAAAATACGTATTTTTATTGGCGCATTAGTTAATGGATTCAGAAACCTCTACATTTCTTTTGTCTGCCAAATATAATGAATTTCTTTCCTTTGTTATATCATCACATTGTATGTAATTTCTCCTGTCCTGAATGTTTTTTTTTTTTTTTTTTTTTTTTTCCTTTTTCAGTCCAACGAGCTCGAAATCTCCACAGTAAAGGAAGGAAAGGTAAAAATATTATATCTATTGTTCTTTCAACGGAAAAACTTTGATTTTAAAAATTTATATTAAAAATTAACAATAATTGCTTTCCAATTTTTCTGAATCTTCTGACATCGATTAAATTAGTACACCAAAGCAGTAGCCTCGAAATGGCGATCCGTGGGTCACATGCGGCCCCCGAAGCAATTTTATGCAGCACGCGAAGATATTTCACTTATGCAATTCAGTTACAATTTCAGTGTATTTTTTGCAGAGTTGTTTGAAGTCCGTGTTTATTTTCTATTAAACACACACAGTTACGAATTTTTGCTCTAAGAATAACTTTGGAATACATTTATGTTCGAACAGTTTTTTTCCACAGTTGAAAATAATGAGAATAGAACCCGAATGACCGATATGCGCATCTACAATCCTTGATAAAGATAACTTCTGGTAATTTCTTTGTTAGGCTGCACATGTTATCAGAATCGAAACGCCACATAGTATCAATCTTCAGTAAGCAAAAAGAACTTTATAATGATTTATATAAAAACATATATATTTTTATTTGTGCGTCACATAAAAACTTATTAAATAAGAAAGAGACCTTATTCCCATTACTTATTCTCAAATTTTGTCCTGCTTAATAAATTTTCTCTGAAAAATTGGAAAGTTTCCATGCTTTTCATATTTGAAATTAAATTATTGAAAAATTAAATAAGCATATTAGAATTATTTGAAAGAAATATCAGTATGTATGTTTTGATAAATATTTAGTAACGAAATTTAATTTTTTTTCTTTTAATTTTGTTAAAAAAAAATTCTGGCCCGTCAACCGTTTTTAGATCGCGCGTTCGGCCCGCATGCAACTCGAGTTTGAGACCATTTCATAAAGGTGTCATATATAGTGTTGTGAGCATCGGGTGTTTCTTTAATAATAAATTCAGATAAGCAGAAAGAAATGAAAATTTGTTAGGAAAATAGGCACAATAAATATTACACATGGCACAATAATGGCAGGAAGTAGCTCTAGGAGAACGCAGATATTCAGCAGTTCTTAACGCACAAAATAACTTGTAAAGTTCGTCAGATCACTCTCAGAGTAAACCCTAACTCGTAGTTCATGTAACCGTTAAGCCTTACCGCTGTTTCCCAACTGTTTCGTAACTAAACCAACTCCCCAGCTCCACTCTGCTGTGGAAACTACTGGAAGAATCGGTCGTAGGGCTTGGAAAAGGTTATAAAGTATTTTCTCTCTCCTTTCTGCATGCCTTCTGATGTAACGGCAGTAACGGTGCGTATTCAAGAAGTCCAGGTTCGAGTCCTGGTGAAGTACCATTTGCACTTCCAAGCAGGTTAGTCTTATAATTCTTACCGTAAAAACGGTACAATAAAATTACTTCAATATGTGAATAAATCAACAGACGAACTAACTATTTACAAAATTTATTTACAACATGTTAGCTATTTTAAATTACTCTTAAAACAAGAGTTCAAAATCATTATTACCGACTCAGTCAGTTCTTGTAACAATTCTCAAAACAGAGTACAACAGGGTTGCCACAAAAGTATGCAAAATCAAATTATGCACTTGAACGCTACCTAACGGCCAAATCGGCAGTCATAACACCCGGCGATGGCATTTCTCATTTTTTACGTCTCCAGGCATCAAAAAACCTAAAGACTATACAGTGGCACCTGAACTAAAAGGTGGTGGATGATGATTCTTCACCACCAGGATTTGGTGATTGGGTCCCCTAATCCAAGGTCGTCCTTTGAAAAAGGAAGTATATAAGGTATTTTCCCCCTCCTTTCTACATGCCTTTGTGGTGTAACGGTAGCACACTCAGCGCGTATTCGCAGGTTCGGATTCAAGTCCCGGCGAGGGCATTGCTTATTTTTCCCGTCTCCAGCATGAAAATAACCTAATGACTTTACAAGATGTTTTTGCAAATCTTTCAGAAAGTCGCCAAGTTGGCGGAAAATAGCCAAATATATCCAAGGCCTTTCAGTTACGAAATTGCTTATATCTTATTTTCAAATTGAGCTATTTTTACATTTCCAAAACCGTTGCACTCAATTAAAACGTTTGTAACTTTATGTATCAAATAAACACTTAAGATATGTGGCCATCAGTTACATTAAGTACAAAATAAACCATGCAATTTCCATTATAAAAGTAATAAATAAGCAAAACAATGCAAAATATTACAGGAATACAGAAAATCAAAAATACGATAAATAAGCTTAAAATCTACAAATATTTACAACTTTGCTGAGGATTGCACGTTGCGGGCAGTGCTATTCCTCAAAACCAGGGACAACTAATTTTCATTACCGAATAAGGTGCAATGCTGTCGAAGTGCCCCTTCCTTAGGTTTAGTAAAAGGAATTATTTGCATAGGCGCGAGCAGTCTCTCGTAAGTTTTGATTGCACCATTGATGCATTCCGTTCTTAGAGAGAGATAGCAATATTATGAGATCTGATATGTTTTGCTATCATAAAATGGTCACTAGATCTAATTGAATGTTAAACCTTGCGAATTCTCGCACAGGCGTAACACAGGGTGTAAAAGACTCTTATTTATCACGATCTAGTTAACAGATAGCACAGACTTACGTACTTATAACCAAAACACCGTCCACTTGCGGTGAGAATTTAAACGATAATCTCTACATATAATAAGAGTCTGTGTGTGTCTTTAGTTCGTTCTGCGCGTAAGCTACTAGACCTAGGGCTACGAAATTTGGTACATAGTGTGCATCTAGACAAGAGCCAATGCATCTCGAAACAATTTTTTCATTTTTTTTTTTTTTTTTTTTTTTTTTTTTTTTTTCCAAATTTTATATTTTTTGATGAAATCGCATCAAATCGATTATTCTCTCTCATATCAGCAACAATGGCACGTAGCCATTGTTGCTGATATTAGCACTGTTGCCACTCGTAAAAATGAGGGCGATAATTTTGTGCAGTTTTTAAATTTAATGTTTCTCTTGCATACTGGACGTTTGTCGAGAGAAGACAACGGGAAGTTGAATTTATTTATTAGGATAATTAATATTTGTATTAAGAGATATTGCTTGTTTCATTCTATTTTTTTTTACATGTAATATATTTTTATTGAAATTTGTGGGGTGTTTTATATATATATATATATATATATATATATATATATATAAAGTTGCTTTGCAGAAAAAAATTCTGTGCAGTTTTTCAATTTAATGTTTGGTGTTCCCTTTAGCTATTTTTCCGGTTCATTTAAAAGCCAGACGAAGGCTGGCAGCGTAGCGGCTAGTTTAACAATAAATTTAAAGGTAAAGATGTAGTGGTAGACTATACAATTCAATATAATCTGTCAAGCTGATTCAGAAACCTACACTGGCAATATACTAAACTAGATGGTCAGAATGCGTGACCACTTCAAAGATTAATAGCTGGAGAAAAAACTAGGAAACGTACACTTTCACTAGCGAAATCACGCTCTGTCTAACCTTTTCGTTCCAACAGTTTAAATACTCTTGTTCAACTACTTCATTTGCATCCTGAGGAAGAAATGTGAGGGGAAATAAGAGAATTGAAGAAAGGCTCGCAAATTAAAATAACTATTAGTAATACTTAGATAGGACTCTGCAATATTATCATAAGCAATTATCGTGTAGCAGTTCATTTCATTCTCATCTACTCCAAACATCGGTATTTGTTCATTAGATGTGCGCAATTCATTATTCTTGACATCTAAACAAAATCCATACTTATTTAGAAAGTCGTATCCGAGGAGATATGAATCAGTTATATCAGTCACATAGACTATGTGCTTATGTACACAAAACGCAAATTTATGTGTACCATCATTTTTCAATGCATTGGCATTTCATCTTCTCTCACGGTTTGTAGATTCAAGGATGAAGTCGTATGCAGTATCAGGTGATCGTTGAACTGCCGAGCTATATCATTTCACAGAATTTTCCAGTTTTCTTCCATGTCTGTTATCATGCGGGTTGGAAAACACGAATCCACCATAGTCCTTGATTTCGTCGTGAACAGAAGATATTTGGAGAAATTAGTTTCTCTGCTGCTCTTTCAACATATTTTCCGTTTTTTGAACTGGTTGCGCATAACGCTAAATGTCCTTTCCCATTACAGTTCCAACATTTTATCTTACTTTTATTATTCGTCTTGTTTGTTTCATTCGGATCCACTCTTTTAAATAGTTCCGCCACTGCTTTCAGCATCTGCATTGCAGACACCCAAAATTAGACAGGTTAACAGCTAATGCTGTTGTGTCTATTAGAGTGAACGATAGCGAGCTGTTCTGGGATAAATTTAGTACTAATTTGCATTGGTCGGAGGACTTCCCACTGCTGTCCGAGGTTGGTAAGTGAGCTTGAGCGATTAGTCGATAGAAGCAGCCAGTAATGTTGCCAGGAACTTATTCTTCGTAATCTATAATGTCAAAAGGCAAACCGCCTAGTTTGTAGCATATTCATTAATCCTGTCAGTCGATCTCTTTTGTCTTGAACATTATAGTTTTGAATTGAAACACACAAGAAGTTGACAAGTAAAATATTTTTAATGTTTTAATATGTCTATCTGTGCTATTTGATTAAAAGTGAGAGCGATAACTTTCCTATAGCGAAATAATAAATAGCTCTGCGTTGAAATATCATTAGGTTAAGTATTCTTATAAGCATAATTTAGCAAAAGAATTACAGTATTATTGAAATACGATTCTTTAATATTATGTTTACTGCCTTCTATTCTCCATTTCCATACTTGCATTTTGCTCAATCTCCGCTTTAATGGCATGTACTAGTGCACTCTACCCAAGCGCTTTCTTTATTTCAAGATCCCTGACAGAATCCACAAAATACTAGAGACTCGGTGTGTCTTTAATTTCACTCCCGCAATCCAGGAATGCTAGCTGTTTTAACTTTTCATGTCGATTACCAGTTCTTGAAGGACCTCTCCTGTTTTCTGCTCTCGAGTCTTAACCTGCAGTCCATAGTAATCCTTAAGTAAGACTCGG